TACAAGGTTACAGCCGACCTCGGGGACTAATAGTCCAGTTACAAGGTTACAGCCGACCTCGGGGACTAATAGTCCAGTTACAAGGTTACAGCCGACCTCGGGGACTAATAGTCCAGTTACAAGGTTACAGCCGACCTCGGGGACTAATAGTCCAGTTACAAGGTTACAGCCGACCTCGGGGACTAATAGTCCAGTTACAAGGTTACAGCCGACCTCGGGGACTAATAGTCCAGTTACAAGGTTACAGCCGACCTCGGGGACTAATAGTCCAGTTACAAGGTTACAGCCGACCTCGGGGACTAATAGTCCAGTTACAAGGTTACAGCCGACCTCGGGGACTAATAGTCCAGTTACAAGGTTACAGCCGACCTCGGGGACTAATAGTCCAGTTACAAGGTTACAGCCGACCTCGGGGACTAATAGTCCAGTTACAAGGTTACAGCCGACCTCGGGGACTAATAGTCCAGTTACAAGGTTACAGCCGACCTCGGGGACTAATAGTCCAGTTACAAGGTTACAGCCGACCTCGGGGACTAATAGTCCAGTTACAAGGTTACAGCCGACCTCGGGGACTAATAGTCCAGCTACAAGGTTACAGTGGACCTCGGGGACTAATAGTCCAGTTACAAGGTTACAGCCGACCTCGGGGACTAATAGTATTTATTCATATATAATATTCAAATATTTCTCGACGCAGAGAGCCAAACATAGTAAACATTGTACTACACCATATGACCATTCCAACCATTAGGACTCGTCAGTAGTAATGAAGGGGGGGGGGGGGGATGAAAATTCCATGTCTGGAGTGTTCCAAGTAATGTACAGAAATATAGTGAAAGTGGAAAGAAAGATTACTATAAATACTATAAAACCCCTAAACGTTAGAAATTTATAACGTTTGGATACAATAGATATCATAAACATTTAAACAAGAGACTGATAGTCCACCAGTAGATACAAGGCTACAGCCGACCTCAGGATTAATATTCCACTTACAAGGTTACAACTGACCTCGGGGACTAAAAGTCCAATTACAAGGTTACAGCCGACCTCAGAGACTAATAGTCCAGCTACAAGGTAACAGCCGACCTCAGGGACTCTTAGTCCAGTTACAAGGTTACAGCCGACCTCGGGGACTAATAGTCCAGTTACAAGGTTACAGCCGACCTCGGGGAATAATAGTTCAGTTACAAGATTACAGCCGACCTCGGAAACTGATAGTCCAGCACTAGATACAAAGTTACAGCCGACCTTGAGATTAACAGTCAATCTATAATGTTACAGCCGACCTT